GTTGGCAGGTTGTGTTAAATGTCCCTACTAAGATACAATCACAGCCAAAATAGAATTATGACTGATCAACTGCGTTAGTCAACGGGTGCAAAAGACGATGACACGGAACGGCTCGGAAATGATTAGGCAGTATTCTCATTGTTACTTAATAGAAACTCAATGTGATTTCAGGTGCATGCTCGTTTTTAATCTACCCTCACGTAGAGAAAAAATACAATTAAATACTTTAAACACAAGGCTTTTGGGAAACATTTTAATTCTAGGAAATTCCGGGACACTGACATAAAAAATTCAAAATCGAGTAAAAATGTAGCCTTGGTTTACTATACTCTTTTTTCGTTGGGTCGACATAAGTTTGAGCAAAAATTCCGCAGTGTATACGTAGAGTTTGTGGCATTTTACAAACAACACATATTTTATAGCATGACTCCAGTTTTTCTCTTAAAATCGGCTTTGAAGTGTACTAAATTTTGCACTTACCTTTGGAGAAAAGACTCTGGCACAAAAGAAATCGTCAGCGTAGTAAATAAGGCCGTGTAAACAAGAAGGTTAAACTTTTCAAAACGTTTTTCAAGATATTATAAAAACCATACGAAGTAATCTAGGCCTTATCCCCTGATAACAGTGGACCAAGGTGAGAGCGCTTTGGAACTCCAAGGTGGTTAAAACTCTTTCCGGTAAGAAATCTAGGATTTTGCTTTTGTTTTTCTCGAGTTTTAATTAATTAATTTTTGTTTCCCGACGACAGATGTTTCATTAGACTTTTTGAGAGAGAAGATTTAGCGAAAAAGATAAGCTGCTGTTTTAATTTTTTAAATTGATTGCTTTTGTACAAATATTTCATTTATTTTTCAAATAATAACTCTACCTGAGAAACTAGCAATTCTTTTAGGATACTATCTGAAAAAGAACTAATAAAGTATCAGAAGATCATCAGACGATCGATCAAACAAGGTTAAGGTAGAAAATAAATCAATTCGGGGAATAGAATGTTTTAAGTGAGTTTTTGGTTTTCATTCATTATATGAAAAAGGAAGGATGGATAGGAAGACGATAGGAAGAAAGGAAAAAAGAAAGGAAAGCGAAAAAAGGAAAGGAAAGGAAAGGAAAGAATGCAAAGCAAAGCGAGAAAAGAAAGAGAAGGGAAGGGAAGGGAAGGGGAGAGGAGAGGAGAGGAGAGGAGAGGAGAGGAGAGGAGAGAAAAGGAATGAAAACATTTTTTCACAGTCTAACTCTAATTATACTCAACTGACCATCCTTCATATCTTCCTTTCATTATATTGCCTTTATTGATACTTATAATTGGAATTTTTCTCGGTAGTCGCTTGTCACACGATGCCTAATAACTCGTTATACATGTTACCCAAGATAAAAATTACACCCTTTTCTTAACATGTTATTCTTTCATAATCGATCCAGTTCAGTTAGAATTCATAACTTTGTGCAAATTAAAATTCTAATATTTTAAGATTTCTCGTTTGTATCTTAACGTTTGTACGTTGAAAGTTATAGTATAAATTGTGAAAAAAGTTACATTAGGAAGGAAGGAAGGAAG